ACGACCTCATGAGCGTGTTTAATTACGTTTTCGTCAAACTAGTGGGTAAACGTTTCAACTTAATAAAAGGAATGGCTCGTTTTTTCAGAAATCAATTTTTATAGAAATCAATTAAGGCGTTGTTGACAAAAAAATTATCTTACTTAAGATGCCAAATTGTTTTACATTATTTATAAGATAACTATTGATGTAGGGCTGATTAGTGCTGCTTGTAATTAATACGAATTTCACTAACATAATGACAAGTGCGTGTTCACATTATAAATATCTAATTCCGGATTTTAAACTCACAAACAGTATTTGTACAATGTGTGATCATGGAAAATATTAACTAACGATTAAACTTTTCTGACCTCTTTTTTTCATGATCTTATAATCCAGTGGTTTATTTCTCACTCACTGCAATTAACTTGGCGGCATTTCGAACTATAATTGCAATGATTCTTTGACTAAGCAGCTTTTAGTTCTACAATGATCTGGTACTCTGACATTAAGTTACCACACTGAGGATTAATTACAAATAGCAGAGACCCGCAAAACAATTGCGGTCAAATTAGAGTCTTTATTGTAACATTACGTCTTTAAATACATGATTTCTAGAATAATACAAAAGAATTCTAATCGCAGACACCGAAATCTAGAAGTCCACTTGTTTTAGGCCTAACATTAGTTAAACCTTTATTAAGTACGGCCTATATTCGATAAAGATATAAATTTACACCGTAACTTGTTTATTTGCTTTAGTTTAGTCAGGGCTAAACTTTACCGTACTTAATACTACAAACAAATCTTACCCTACGACTTAACGTTTCACCTTTTTACACACTTTGCTAAGCTTTTAATATGTTGTACAAAATGCCTATAACATCCGCCTTTTGTTTACATCCCTTGAAATGAAATACACGCGCAGTTTTAGGACAAACAAAAACTGAGCGTTATTATAATAGATTTATCAGAATGATGTTCCAGGGCTCGTGCTGCCCTTGGAATCAGCTCTTCTATCGTCGATCGTGCTGAATTTGAGGGCCACGAGTACTCCCTTTTGCCCGGCACTACAATTTACATTGTAACAAGCTTCAGTGAGATTAGTCTTAGACCACACATCTTGAAAAAAAATCTACAGACCCTCCACTGAGCGTGGACGTCGACTTCTGAAACCACACTTAAGCAGACCAAAAGGTACATAAGTCAATTGAAGCTGCATTAGGGAATGTTATAGGTATGTGGCCAAGTGGAATTTGTGTGGGTCCACTTTCGTCGGCCATCTTACTCGTGGAAACAGCTGTTGATTTTGAGGTGTGGCTGGAAGCTTGAACGCCTATATATATATATGACCGACCAGAAAATATTCCCATATTAATCACAATGGCTTTTTGGGTAGGAGGGACCTCTTTCTTAGTCGTAGTCTTCACTAATCATCTTGGAACTTGATTTCAGAGGAGGAGATGTCCCATGGGCTCTGCTGAACAAAATTGTCCTTTTCCATAGAGGAAAGCAAAGATTCGCTTCTTGGAATTGTTGTGACATTACAATATTCAACAATCCTTCCTTGAAAAAGGCTGTTACGTGTACCCCCAGCCACAAGTTTATCCCTGGCGGAATTTCGCTGTCATATGATTGGAAATTTATCGTGAACCCAATATATAGAATATGTAGGCCATTACACCACCTTTATCTGTTCGCTGTGAATAAATTACATATAGCATGTCGCCCACAGCGCTACCATTATCTGTTCGCTGTCAACTAATTACATATAGCATGTCGCCCACAGCGCCACCATATGTTCGCTGTCAACTAATTACATACAGCATGTCCGCCCACAGCGTCACCATTATCTGTTCGCTGTGAATAAATTACATATAGCATGTCGCCCACAGCGCCACCATTATCTGTTCGCTGTCAACTAATTACATATAGCATGTCGCCCACAGCGCCACCATTATCAGTTCGCTGTCAACTAGTTACATATAGCATGTCGCCCACAGCGCCACCATATGTTCGCTGTCAACTAATTACATACAGCATGTCGCCCACAGCGTCACCATTATCTGTTCGCTGTCAACTAATTACATATAACATGTCGCCCACAGCGCCACCATTATTTGGAACAATACACCACTGTATAGTATATAGAAACTGTCCTTATTAATTGTAATTAACCTCACTGCAAAAGGCATAATGATTTAATAGCATAATGATGATTAACTTCCATTGTAACAGGCATAATGATGATTAACTTCCATTGTAACAGGCATAATGATTTGATAGCATAATGATGATTAACTTCCATTGTAACAGGCATAATGATTTAATAGCATAATGATGATTAACTTCCATTGTAACAGGCGTGATGATTTAATAGCATAATGATGATTAACTTCCATTGTTACAGGCGTGATGATTTAATAGCATAATGGTGATTAACCCCCATTGTAACAGGCGTAATGACTTAATAGCATAATGGTGATTAACCCCATTGTAACAGACGTAATGACTTAATAGCATAATGGTGATTAACCCCATTGTAACAGGCGTAATGGTTTAACATATATCATAATAATGTTTTAATTAGAACAAATCTACAAAACTACAGGCAGAACTTGGTGGAAAATTAAAAAGTAATACAAGTTCGCCCAAATCGGAGTATAATGTTCCGAGATAAAAAGTAAACACAAAATTTCATATTACAAAATGTCTAGTGCCATTAGGTACCAGCAGATATTTACTTGATCTTTATACGCACACAGAGAAAACGATTTTATTGTAAATGATTTATTACAGTTCAGTTTCAATTGTCTGGTTGTAAACATGAATTATGTATAGAAGCGATCCTGTTTAGTTTTTAATCCTTTTGTTCCTTTCCGAACTCGAACTTTCGTCTAACATTATTTAAATTCGTAACGCAAGAGTTTTAATTTTTTAACCGCTCCCTTACCAAAGTTATTATCGGTCACGGCGAGTGTATGAGGCATACAGTATCCTGACGGCGTTGATGGCTTATATTCACACTCGTGATAGATTTAGAGATATCACGCGCCCTGGTGTATGCAAGAACGATTACCTCGAATTGACTGACGGTTCTAATTACGATTACAGAATTTGTTGTTGAAAGACATGCTTGATGTAATAAGCAATAATTAGACTAGGTGATTTTGACATCACGATCTACCGCTTTCGGAACAGCCTAAATGTGTATTTTCATTATTTATTTATTTATTAACTAATGAGGACACCTTGCGTTCCATTTAATAGTGAAACAACTTACAATATTAACACTTGAGACGTTGCACGATTATCTTAAGGATACCAATTTTCCGACAAAATCCTATGGTTACTAATTCACCATTCAAGGCCATAAGATCAATTTTGTTGAGTCAAGACTGCAAAAGAATTAAGATTAATTGTCTATTCTGTTGTTATTGCTACAAAACATACTTTTAACAAACTTGCT